AGGTGGCACAGGATTACTGCAGGCGGATCTGAAATTGAGTGAGCTCGATGTGAAGAAGGCACAAAGGAGAGAACTTAGGGTTTAGGGTTTAGGGTTTAGGGTTTAGGGTTTAGGGGGTACCTCTACTGCTTCTGTTGCAGCTGCAGCCAGTCGATAGGTTCCGCGGTGTATATTCGCATTCAGGTGTCTGTACACCCCAACTTCAGCCTGCAGCAGCAGCAGCAGCAGCAGCAGCAAATGCAGCAGCAGCAGCAGCATCACAACTGCACGGGAGGCCTTTCGCGAGCTACCTGGTCGGTATTTGATATGCCTAGGGTTTAGGGTTTAGGGTTTAGGGTTTACGTCTATAACACTCTTGGGTTTATGAGAAGTCGCAGCATTATCAAAGGGGATTATTTTTTTATTGCGAGATAATAGTGGGAACAGAGGCCGCAGCAAGCTTCCTAACTCCTGTCCTGCTGCTGCTGCTGCTGCTGCTGCTGCTGCTGATGCTGCTGCTGATGCTGCTGCTGGTTTTCTTGGCTTTGCTGCAGCAGCTGCTGCTGTGGCGTCGGTTTCTGCTGCTCCTGCTGCTGTTGCTCCTGCTGCTGTTTCTCGCGTGTGAGATTTGCTAACGCTTGAGAGGCTGCGAGGGCCTGCAGCAGCAGCTGCAAGGGCTCGCGCGAATGGAGAAAGCAAAAGGGCTGCTGCAAGAATTGGCTGTTCTTGCTGCTGCTGATGCTGCTGCTGCTGTTGGTGCTACTGCTGCTGCTGCTGCTGCTGCTGCTGATGCTGCTGCTGCTGCTGTTGGTGCTACTGCTGCTGCTGCTGCTGTTGCTGTACTTCCACCCAGCAAAGTGCTGCTGCTGCTGCTGCTGCAGCTTCAGCGGCTGCAGATTCAGCGGCTTAAGTATCGCAGCACAGCTCATGTGCAGCAGCAGCAGCAGCAGCAGCAGCAGCAGCAAGGAGCCCCATTGCATTATGTACTTGAACAGCGAGAGGCTGCCGTTTCTTTTGCTGCTGTTGCACGGTGGGTTTTGCTGCTGCTGTTGCTGTTGCTGCAGCTGCTGCTGCTGCTGCTGCTAAGGCAGGTATGCGGAGCCGCAGAAGCAGCAACCGGTGTCGTGGAGAAGCAGCAGCAGCAGCAGCCTTTGCTGCTGCTGCTGCTGCTGCAACACCCCCGCTGCTGCTGCTGCTTTGTATAGAAACAGAAGACAACAGAGAGGCTGAGGCTGAGGGAGCAGATCGCTGCAGGGTTAAGGGTTTAGGGTTTAGGGTTTGGGTGGCAGCGACAGCAGAAGCCAGGTTATAGTCGAGAAACAAGGGTTTGGGGTTTAAGGTTTAGGGTTTAGGGTTTAGGGTTTAGGGTTTAGGGTTTGTCTTCTTCCAGGAAGATATCAGCCGCAAGAGACAAAGAAGATCGGGGGGCGCAGGGCGCCCGGGCTGCAAACCCTAAACCCTAAACCCTAAACCCTAGAACCTAAACGAATGCTCAAACCCTAAACCCTTAATGACATATTCAACTCCATAGTATACGTATTTATCTGGCTGCTGCTGTTGCTGTTGCTGCAGCAGCTGCTGCTGCTGCTGCTAAGGCAGGTATGCGGAGCCGCAGAAGCAGCAACCGGTGTCGTGGAGAAGCAGCAGCAGCAGCAGCCTTTGCTGCTGCTGCTGCTGCTGCAACACCCCCGCTGCTGCTGCTGCTTTGTATAGAAACAGAAGACAACAGAGAGGCTGAGGCTGAGGGAGCAGATCGCTGCAGGGTTAAGGGTTTAGGGTTTAGGGTTTGGGTGGCAGCGACAGCAGAAGCCAGGTTATAGTCGAGAAACAAGGGTTTGGGGTTTAAGGTTTAGGGTTTAGGGTTTAGGGTTTAGGGTTTAGGGTTTGTCTGCTTCCAGGAAGATAACAGCCGCAAGAGACAAAGAAGATCGGGGGGCGCAGGGCGCCCGGGCTGCAAACCCTAAACCCTAAACCCTAAACCCTAGAACGAATGCTCAAACCCTAAACCCTTAATGACATATTCAACTCCATAGTATACGTATTTATCTGTTCTTTTAGGGTTTAGGGTTTAGGGTTTAGGGCGTATGTATGCTGCAGAAGGCTGCTGGGGGGA